GACAGCCAGGCTATTGCAGCTCTTGTGAATACTCAAAATTTTGAGGGCTCAAAAAGGGCCTATTTTTTTCGACTGCGACAGTCGGCCGGACCGGAGCCTTCGGAAAATTTCACCGGAACGTATGCTAATATGGTACTTGAAACGTCCAGGAAAATTACGAGGATCACCCGGAACTGTCCCCGGAATTATTTTTGGAGGTCCGGAACTCCCGGAAAAGCACCCCGGGTAACTTGGGCCGCCCGTGGCTAACCACCCGGAGCCAGCCGTGAGCCGGCGTCCCATCTCGGTGGCCTCAGCTGCCGGGAGGCCACGACCCGGCGGCTCGGCCGCCAGAAGGGCCGCCCGAACCCGGCGGCCCAGCCGGCGGTCATCCGGCGGCCCGGCACCGAAACAGTCCGTTTGCGCCTATAAATACAGCCTCAGGCCTCCTTTTTTCCCACTCAGTCTGTGTGACGGACGCTCCTTCCCCTCTCGCTTTCTGCGAATTCTTTACTGCCTTTCTTGCATTCAGCTAGATTTATTGCTTTTCTTTGTTGATTTGGTCATTAAAATTAAAATTAATTTAATTAATTCCCTTAACGAGGGAGCTTAACCTGAGAGTTAAGAAGTGTGCCGGATCGACTAAATCAGGTACACAACGCTAAAACTCTATCTATAATTTTAGCACTTCCTGCATCTTCTTTTTCTACTCTCCAAATTCTATAACTGCATAATGCATTCATATCATCCACTAGTAGCCAAAACAAATGCCTCAATAAATAAAATTAAGCTTAGATGCCACGGTAATCGGCATAATCGTGTATTTAAAAGCTTAAAGCTTAAATTCGACGATATTGGCTAAAAGCCTAGTTAATCAATAACTATGGTGAAAGAGCCTTATTTCGAACAGTTTTTTGGCCTAAGTCTAATTAATCAATAATTGTGACTTAAAGGCCCTGATTAAACACTTTTTCTTTTTATGGCAATTAATTGCCTATATTTCAATTTAATTAATCACTTTAGGCAAACAAATTGCCTATAAGTGACAATTGATTCTTTTTTATAGCGACAAATCGCTTAAAGCAATATTTTGGCTAAAAGCCTTTAATTAATCACTTTAGGCAAACAAATTGCCTATAAGCCTACAAGTGAAGAATTAATCAGTTTTCAAGTTCGCTAAAGCAATATTTTGGCTAAAGCCTTTAATAATCCGCTTTTGGCAAACAATTGCCTAACAATGTGAGAAATTAATTCTTTTTCATAGCGACAAATCGCTTGAATCAAAGCTTTTGGCCAAAAATGGCCTTTAAAAACTAATCAATTCCTTTTGGCTTTAAAGCGCCTCTAAAATCAATTCATTTTGGCATCAATGCCTTAAATCAATCAATTTCTGCGACAATCGCCCAATCAACTTTTTGGCAAACAATTGCCTAAATCAACTTCTTTTCGGCCTAAAAGCCTTAAATCAATTTTTTTGGCGTTCAAACGCCAATCAAACTTTTGGCAAAACAAATTGCTAAATCAACTTTTTGGCTAAAAAGCCTCAAACATCAATTTTTTGGCAATAAAATTGCCTTAATCATTTTGGCGACAATCGCCCACAAAACACCCTTTGGCCACAAATGCCTTAATCATTTTGGAACAATTGCCTAAATCAATTCATTTTGGCTAAAAAGCCTTAAATCATTCAATTTTGGCGACAATCGCCTAAACAATCAATCTTTTGGCAATAATAAGCTCAATTAATCTTTGGCAAGCAAATAAGCACAACTTATCTTTTGGCAAGAATAAGCCCAAATCCTTTCTTTTGGCAAAAAGCCTCAAATCAGCATTTTGGCACCAAGTGCCTGAAACAATCAATTCTTTGGCAAAATGCCTAAACAAAAATGCACAAAGTATACACACACTCATGCATCAAGCATCCCATCTAAAGCCCTCTAGAAGAGGCCTATCGAACTACGTGGACTTTGATCTTCCATTCAAACGGAAGTAAGTACGTAGGCACGTTTGGGATCTAACCCCGAGCGACAAGTCAAGATCACATAAACATTTTTCATTGGTCCAAATTACATCATCTTTCACCTTGCAAAGCATTCATTCATAGGTTAGTTCATCAAGCATGACATAGTCTCAGGATCCACCTCGGGTTCGCAGACCATACCTTGATCTTTGGGTTAATTAATCTAGCAATTAGGTTAATTAAAATTGGAGTCACTTAGGGTTTTTTTCCTAGTTTACCCTAAAATAATTAAACAAGGTGGCAATGTGTTAAAACAATCACATCAGTCAAGTGTAAGGTAGAGACGGACTGACATGAACATTCGCAAGTGCATTCTTCCCATTATAGTACACCATGGCCATCATACATAGGTCATTACTGATATTTAGGTAAATGAAGCGTATGAGAGAATCAACAGTGGAACCTATGAATTATATATCAAGAACTCTTGAATATAGATGTATGATAAATATATCAAAGATCAAAGACATTAATACACTGAACTCTATCTATGGCACACCCAAAGCTTAAAGAAGCAAGATAAACCAATAATAAAGTAAAAACATAAGAATACAAAACAGACGAAAATAAATGATCAATCCATGATTACAGATCAATAGAGTAGATCACTACTCACATCTCTCTGAATCAAAGAAAATCACCATCAAGACATAGAACAAAGAGTCTGATTAGATTGCGTGTTATTCAGATGAATTGTGTGTTATGATTGATACTATAACAAGCTATATATATACGTAAAAATCAAAAAGGTACCTGCTATCCTAAAGTGAATTAGACGTAATATAATTCTGAAATCACTAAGGTAGGTTAGCTATAAATGCTAAACCTAAACTTAAGGGAATAAGACATAATCAAATCTTACTAACTTTAATGGCATACTTAGGAAGGATTTAGGAATAACAAATCCTAACTAACTAAAGATTAGCTAAATCTAAACAAAATAAGGATAAAATCCAAGGGGGGCCGAATTATAGGAGGCCCAACCCATTATTTTTTATACAACTCAAAATAAGCATAATTAGACTAACTAATCTCACTAGAGGCAGACCCTAGCACGGCTTGGGCATGCCAATTCGCACGGCTTGGGCATGCTACCTTGCACGGGTGTGCTAACCTAGCACGGTTTGGGCGTTCCATAGGCTGGAATTTCAGATTCCATCTCAACATGTGCTTCCATTAATGTGAGAAAATTAGGTGTGCCTTCAAGTTCTTCATAGCACTTGTTGAAAACAAGGTCATGGAGCTCTTGTGTAACTTGTTCTTGAATGTATAAGGACATGGTTGCTCCAAGGAACATGGTTGCTCCATAATTTCTTTTGCACGCGTCCCTGTAATTGGTCCACTAGGAAGTTACTAATGGATCGGCCAATTATTCATGTCCTTATTCCCTTAAGGCTCTATAGGTGATGATGATGTGGATCGTCATCATCCCCCCCTTCTTTAAAAAAGATTGTCCTCAAATCTGCCATCCCATGTCCAAAAGGGGAGATAAATCACAAAGGGAGATAAATCACTAATATTGAAAGTGGCAGAAACACCATACTCACCTGGTAAGTCTATCTTGTAGGCATTGTCATTGATGCGCTTTAAGACTTGAAATGGACCATCTCCACGTGCATCGAGCTTAGTCTTCCTTTGGTTGGGAAACCTTTCCTTGTGAAAATGTACCCAAATCTAATCACCTGGCATAAGCACCAACTTCTTCCTACCCTTGTTTGCTCTATCAGCATATTGCTTGTTCCTCTTTTCTATGTTGGCCCTAGCCTTCTCATTTAAAGACTTCACCAATTCTGCCTTTTTTTGAGCAACCATCTAAATTAGGAAGTTCAATTTAAAGGGAAAGGAACAAGATCTAATACAGTTAGTGGCGTAAAGCATACAGTTAGTGGGTTAAAGCCATAAACAAGTTCAAATGGACTAAAACCTGAAGTAGAATGTATGCTACGATTATATGCAAACTCAATGAATGCAAACAATCTTTCCAAGTTTTTAAGTTTTTACCCACAATGGCACGAAGCAAGGTTCCTAAAGTTCTATTCACAACCTCAGTTTGTCCATCTGTTTGTAGATGACAAGTGGTAGAATAAAGTAATTTAGTACCAAGCTTACCCCACAAAACTCTCCACAATTGTGAAAGGAACTTTGCATCCCTATCAGAAACTATAGTTCGTGGCACCCCATGCAACCTTACCACTTCTCTAAAGAATAGATCAGTAATATTATTGGCATCATCAGTTTTATGACAAGGAATGAAATGAGCCATCTTGCTAAACCTATCAACAA